AGACACTCATTATGTCCCATCAATAACTGAGACGATAATACCTCAGTCATCTGTTCAACATCCTGAAATCCAATGTGAGCGGAGTCATGTGACCAGAGTCATGTGACCGGTCCCCTCACCTGTCTGCAGGTGGGAGTGTTCCTGTACAACTGAATGACATTTAGATTTCTGGACTTTGAACCTGCAGCAGCAGGACAAAGTGTGAGCGAGGAGCTGGATGTGTTTCTATCACTGACGTGACCTCGGTGGAAATGTGCTGCTGCACTCATCCATCTCATGTGAATGGTGCAGTGTTTGTGGGGCGGGGCTCTTCAGCTCCATATAAGCAGGAGCAGGTCTGTGGGTGGAGGGAGAATCTCCTGTGGACCTGCTGAGACCCTCTGCTCCTCCAACTCCACAGTCATCGTCCTCCTCCTCCTCCTCCATGGACCGCTCAGGGATGCTCCGCTGGCCACTCCTCTTCTTCTTCCTCAGCCTCATGTGCACAGTGTGTCACGGTCAGGCGTCTCAGGAAGTGTCTGCGGAGGATTTTGGTTTGGAGAAACCTGAAGCAGCTGCAGACAGAGACCTGGTCAGTATCTGAATGTGTTCAGGGTCACGTCTCCTGAGAAACACCTGATGTAGAACAAATGTCCTGTTGTTAGTTCTGAATACGAGTGGAACCTGAGCTACTAGATTTTATTCTAACTTCATGGTGATGGAGAAATGTTTGTTTAGTGCAAACATGACTTTACAAGTGTGTGTTTATTCTGCTTTAGATTTGGATTTCATAAGATAAATGTTTCTCCAGGTTAACTACAGAAGAAGCAGCGTTATACACTGATAATCTTTTAAACAGTCATCTATGAAGAATTAGAACCCGATGGAACTTCAGGCGGATGTTTGTGTGCAGGTGGAAGCACTGGAGGCTCTGCTGGGCAGGATGCACAGTCACATCTCCTCCACAGAGAAGCGAGGCAGCATCCCTCTGGTAACGTCTCTTCACTCTGAACACATCATTCTGTCATTCACGCCACTGCTGTTTAATTAAACCAGTTAGACACTCATTAAAAGATAAGAAGAAAATGCCACAACAGTCTTTTGCTCAGTGTAATTAAAGACTAATCCAACAACAGCAATTAACTGAGAGAAGAGAAAAAGCTCCACAAGCTTTTTAATCCTCAGCTTCTGTCAGTGGAAATAAATCACACAGAAATAAAACTGAAGTTCAGCTCAACTTGAATAATGAACAGGATTTCATTATTTAATTAATCCCTCATTCTCTTTGGGCAGAATAAATCAGAATAATTCAGAAAAAATTAAAATTACTCAAGCAAAGGTCTGTGTTCATATATTTCCTCCATCCTTTGTGAAAACCCTTTGAATATCTGCTGTTGTTTTGAACGAGCCCTCTCTCCTCTGCTCAGTGTGGGATGGGAGACCGATGTGCTATGAAGTTTGGGCCTCGCATCGGAAAACTCTGCGACTGTGGACGAGGAGCGAACTGTAACTCCTACCTGCTCAAGTGCATCTGAACCACAGGAAGAAAATATCCAGCGTCTCATGTTCCTGTGTAACGGCATCATTTCTTTTGTCCTTGCTGTTGATGTAGATCTGCATGTTAATGTCTCATGTTCAATAAACAGACTTGACAACACAAACATTTGCTCTTTTATTTCCTCACAGTTAAATTAGAGGGACATGATTTCCTTTAAATTTGCTGCTGTAGAAATAAATCCATGAAGCCACACGTTGACTGGAGGCTTTTTGTCCACTTGAGGTTTTACCTCTTCTTTCTTTCTTTTGTCTGAATGAAACAGATTTGATTTGAAAACCTGCAGCAAAGATTCCACCTTAAATCACGGTGATGAAAACTGACGTTTGTTTAAAGTCTGTTTTATCTTTATTCTCCACATTCACACAAACAGTATCCACGTTCTTTCATTGTCTATCACACAATCAAACACCTTCACTTCTAATGACACTGAGCTCTGACTGTTTTATTTCACACACGTTGTGTTTGCTAGTATAACACTGCAACAATATTCATACAACAACGTTCTCCAAACAACAACGTTCTTCACACAACATCGTTCTCCAAACAACAACGTTCTCCAAACAACAAC